GGTATCTTTATCCTATTAGATGTTTCTGTGTAGTAGAGGGTATTTAGATGTCTGTCTCTCCTTCTTGATACATAACAAGACACATTCTTCACTATTCTTTGTCATGAAACTGTAGGTTTAGAGTTTTCATATTTTTCTTACATATGACATATATCGAAGGCAAATTATAGGTATGCTTTAGAGCACAAATCTATATCATTGTGTCTCATAGCACACTGAATAGAGGATGTAGTATGGTATGTTTTATATATAGAATTGTCTCTAATTTCCTGTGGAGTTAGTAACTGATTCATTTTTTTTGCTTCGAGACTTCAGATAGCCAGCTAATGGGAATGTAAAGAAAGTGACATGTTTTTGAGTGAAAGGATAAAAAAGGAACACTCAAAAGTCTGTTTGGTGTTCTTTCTTATATATGAACTACAGCTTTTTCTTACCCTCACCCTTTCCTGTAAAGGGACTCAAGGCCAGATGACATGAATTTTATGAGAGTTCATTTTGCTTTTATTTTTATACATGCTCATATGTGTTTAGGAAAGAAGTCATCCTTTAAGCTTTGTATTTTCTAGCAGGTGGATCTCTCATAAATAGCAGCTTTGTAGAAGTGAAAATAACATACTGGTACCTATAGTTCTCCAAGGATAGTGGTTGTAATGCAATTTCTCACCAACTCTGTCTGCCCCATTTTCCCTGTCACTTTTCTTTGGTCTAAAGGATAGTTTTGGGTATGACATGCTGCCTCTGCCCCCAATTTGCATGGCCATACCTCCTCCTCTCTCTCCCCCTTTCTCAACTTTTAAAATATGGATTTTAGGCCCCTTTTTTAAATTTCTTGGGCCCAGTTTACCAGTGTGAGCCATCAGATCCCAGTTACTGTGTGTAGACAGAGGGGTTTGATCTGTTATCACAACCATAAAAGAACAGCAATTACAGACAAGTAATCTTAATTTATTCCAATGTGAAAGTAATATTAGGGCTGTTAAATGTAAATATGCTTCATATATTTTGGGGCTGTTAACTTAAATTACCATTAAACTCATAATACTTGTGCTCTGCATTAGCTCCCAAGTTCATTTATTACTGCAATTCAGGATGTTGGTTACCATATGAACCACACTATAAAGCCTGGGATGACCTGGAAGACCTGGCCATCTGAGATGTCCTTGTAGCAATTGCAGTGAGACAGATAGAAGTCACTGTCTGTCCCTGAAGTGGAACTCCTAGGTGTGGGTGGGATTACAATCTTGGAACAGGATGTTAGCTCTAGAACTATTTCCCTGGTACAATCCACCAGAGCCTGTGTTAAAGGATATTTTTCAGAGACTATTGCAAAACATTTCTTTGCACTGGCTTTTTCAAAATTTGGACCTGTGGTTATCAGTAGGTGAAAACGGTAGAAACTAGGGTGAATTTTTCCTCATTTTTACATATGAACCCAAATATGAGAATATTTCATCTCAAGCTTTTCTAAAGCCTGTACCGTTTAAAAATCTATTAGAATATACTAGGCTATAAGCAGGATGGTTAAAATAAGCAAAAGGAAAACAGTGGAAATGTGAATCACTAATGGTAGTTGTGAGGATGAATTTTGTGATGGCAGAGCATCTGTCCATTGGAAACTAGAATGTGGCCATTTACCAGAAACCACTAAATAGCCACCAATGGTATTAACGTTGTCTGCCAACCTGGACTGGTTTTGAATTGTTAACTTAAAAATAAAAGCCTTTTTATTGGGTAATTATTGTTCCCATCTAAGATTTGTCCTTCAAAAATGCCTCTTTGCTGTATCTTATAAGAAAACCTAGTCTTGCTGGTGTAGAACAGTTGGTCTGTTCCAATTGTGGGTGAATTACCCTCCTATATATGCACTCCATATAGTGTGGGTTCCTTAATGATGAGAAGCTGTATAACTGTAGGTGGTAATTAGTAAAGCAAATACATTAAACATGTTTAGTCTTCAGTCTATTCAGCATCATTCCTTGATAATTAGGCTAAATAGTCCACTTAGCTGAAAATTCAAACATTGTGAATGACTTTGGAAACCACAACCAGTTAAATACTCTGTATATAATAAGAAATCTTCCTGAAGTACAAGAAATCGTGTTTTCAAAAATTGCATGGAAACTATAGTTTTACTGTAATAGCCAGTTAACAAACTGAAGGGATAGTGGGACCTGCTAGGTCAGGGGATTGTTAATATATTTGGAATGCTGGTCCAGATCCATCCCAAGTAACCTGGCAATCACATTTAACTTCCAAATTAATAGGAATGCATATCACAAAAATTGCTATCGTAGCTGACATTAATTAGCACCCATGTCAGTCTCAGCAGAGAGGCCATGGACTAAATGAATATAGAATTAACTACCTTCTAGAGGTGGTCCCTCTAGGTTAAAGTTAAAGCACTTGGTAGAGCAGTAAAGGGGAGCTGGCACAAAGCCGCTTAATTTGTTCCAGTGATGCTAAAAACTCACTAAAAATTCATATAATTTTTACCACACTTGCACAAAGTGAAATTTTCACAACTTCTTGTTTGCCCCAGGAGAGAATAGGAGCACTGCCGAAGGCAGCACTTGAGCTGATTTTCAGTGGCACTCACACTGCCTGTCCTGGCCACCAGTCCATTAAACCATTTTAGTTTAATTTTAAAAACCTTATTTACTTTACATACAACAATAGCTTAGTTATATATTAGAAAGAGACCCTCTAAAAACGTTAAAATATATTACTGGCACACGAAACCTTAAATTAGAGTGAATAAATGAAGACTCGGCACACCACTTCTGAAAGGTTGCCAACCCCTGTGCTACACCAAGAGTTGATCCTCACACAGCACTATGTTCTCCAAACTATTTGGTGTTGTGTTTCAGGGCTGGAGAGAATGAGTTGTGACATTTTAATCAAATCACAATTTGTCCTTAAATCTGTATATATTTAGCAATTACATAAAAAAGAATATGCAAAATGTATTTGGTAGCTTTTGGGGATTCTTGGTTAGGCTGCACCTCAATTGCCTGGGCTGACGAGGTGCCTCTGAGTTCAGTACACATCCCTTCTCAGCAATATCTATATGAGACTTCTAAGAACATAAGAATGGCCATACTGGGTCAGATCAAAGGTCTGTCTAGCCCAGTATCTTTCCAACAGTGGCCAATGGCAGGCGCCCCAGAGGGGATGAATAGAACAGGTAATCATTAGGTGATCCATCCCCTGTCGCCAATTCGCAGCTTCTGGCAAAACAAAGACTATCCCTGCCCATCCTGGCTAATAGCCATTGATGGACCTATTCTCCATGAACTTATCTAGTTCTTTTTTGAACCCTGTTATAGTCTTGGCCTTCACAACATCTTCTGGGAAGGAGTTCCACAGGTTGACTGTGTGTTGTGTGAAAAATCTCATGGTGCCTCAATCTCAGAGAAATTGAGGCACCCTGGGCTCTATTCCCATCATGATGGAAATTACTCGGCAAAAATAGCTCATGAAAGTGAATGTATTTGCATTTGGCCCTTAGTGAGCAATGTAAATCAAAATGTTTCTTTCAAGGTGTGTGCGCGGGGGGGGGGTGGATTTATATGCAGAATGTATTATGTACTTTCTAAACAGAACAGCTAACTCTGCAAATATATGTTATGTATAGCGAAATGCATGGCCATATTTACTTAGCTAGGTAGTTTCCATTGATACTCTATTTATTTGTCTTATGGGCTTATGTGGCCCCATTACCATAGTATCTGAGCACCTCAGAATAGTTAATATTTTTAGCCTCAACAAACCAGTGAATTAGGAAAGTGCTATTATTTTATTTTACAGATGAGGAACTGAGGCACAGAGAGACAAAGTGACTTTTCCAAGGTCACACAGGTAACCTGCGTCAGAACAGGAACACAACCTAGGTCTCTTGTACCTAGGCTAGGGTTCCAACCATTACACCATCCTCCCTCTGTGTTTGGGTTTTCATGTAAACCAGAACACTCTGTAGTACCCAAATTTCAATGTATTTTTGTTTTTGTTTGTTTGTTTTGTTTTATTGAGACTGAGTAAGATTTCTTGTTTTGTAAAACAAATGCGAACAGTATGAAGATAGGACAGTCTGTACAGTGAATGTGTTTGCAGGACTCTTTCTGTTGAGATGGGTTAGAAGTTGTCCCATGAAATATTTTTTCAAGATGCCAAAATTTATACTTTGGAGGTCAACATTTTGTATTGGAAAGAAGATACTATTCATTCCTATGGAAACGGGCATTATGATGTCACTTCATTTATTCAGTATGCTCCAGAGGAGCTCACAGTGAATTATGAGCCCTACTCCTGGAGTTGAAGCTGTAGAATATTGTAAGCATGCTGCTGCCTGACATGCTCATGTTTCCTATTTTAGACCTGACTGATCTTCAGATAACATATGGTGGTACAAGTAATTGGAAAATTGGCAGACCTGTCAAGAAAATATGCTAGATGGGACAAAAATATGATGCTGCAGCACATAAAGTGTCTCTGAAGTTAAATTTATTGTCTTTTATCAAATGGTGAAGTAAACGTATCTGGTCTAAAAAAAATTAAACATTTTTCAATGGCAGATGCTATTCAAAAGTAATTTCTAGGACAGTGATGAAAGTTCTTGCATTTTAAAAGCAATTTCGTGGAAACCTCCAGTCAAGAACCAAGGGGGAGGTATGAAATAGCATCCACTACAAAAGTTTAACTATCATCAAATTTCACCTTTTATGTTTCAGAGGCTTCTTTCTTTGTGTAATGATTCTCAAAACAGCTAAATTAGTTGATTCTGCAGGTAAAAAATTTCTATTTAACTTTTGATTAAGATCACATTTCTAATGATTAAAATTGTGCACTTATTGTAACTTCAGGGTTTATCAGTCATGTAAAAGAATCTCAAAGAAAGGTATGGACAGGTTTGTTTCTGTATGTTTTTTTGAACATGTGAACAGCTCTGCAGAATGTATGCCTCTTCAGAAACTCCAGTAATGTGTTTTTATTTTGTTTTACAGGAAGATGAAAATGAAGCTAAGGAAGAAAATCCATCCCAAGACCTGAACATGGAACAGAAAAATTCAAAAAAATAGAGGATTGCTGTCATGTTTGAAATATTTGCAAGTTGTGTAACAGCAGTTAAAGTTTCTCATTGTAAAATTTACAGAACATTCTCAATAAAGTCTTTGAAAATTAAAATTCATGCTGCACTGAGGAATTGTGTAAGTGGCTCTTGGCGACATTTATGACTATATTAAAATGTTGAGATTTTAAGACTGGTACAGAATACCTGTAAAAATATAAAGGCTTTTAGAAATATATGCGTAAGGGCAATGTGATCCTCATTACTGATAACATTTGCTACTCAAACTTGTCAAACTTTTTCAATGTACCAAGCAATGCACATCCTGAAAGGGCAGTAATAATTCCAAATCATTCAGGTATCCCTGAGCATAAATGCAGAGTTATTTGCATTTGACACTTAAGCATTTGGATAAATGCATGACTAATTAAATTGGTATCTGAACTTTTCTTCTTACAAGCCACTGAAGTAAAATTTAAATATTAAGATAAGGATGGTTTTCAAGGTATCTCCTAAAAGAGTGTTCCTATGCAGACAATTTTATCTGCTTGTATGTCGAGCCATTTGAAATGTTTTATACTGCATTATTACTTTCCTCAATGTAAACTCTGTCTCCCTCAGGTGATCGGTGTCTTTGATAATATTGAGGTTTCCCCATTATTTCCCATTTCATCTACACATCAAGTTTTAATCCCTCTGTCACAATCCTTCTAATCGAAAAGGATTAGATAAACTTCTTGCTTTATCATTGCTCCTTAACTGAGCAGCAGGACTCCAGAACACTTCCTTTAGCAGGGTTAAGCATGCTGCTTTAAGATTTTTTGGTCCATGCTGGCCAATGAAAGACTAGTATGAGAAATCCAAATTTAAGTTTCCTGCAAAGCAGTATGGAGCATTACAAATGAACCATGTGAATTCTACACAAAGATATGAGTAACACTCATTGAAGAGAATGGGAATCACTCGTATACTGCTGTGGGAGAATCCAACCTTAGGTTGACCTTTTCACTTTTCTACTACCCTGCACTTTCACTGGTATGCTTCATATTCCTTAATATACCATATTGTTGATATTAATTTACTTTTTCCCCCATGCATGAAAATTTTATCCATTTCAGGAATATTTTCAAATGTTCTTAAATGAAGGGGGGGGAAAATGCTCAAAGAATATCCAGCAATATCCAGCAGGTTCCCTGCTGATCTGGAGGAGGTTCAAATCTATGTACTGTTGGACACATTTCAACCATAAAGTGTAACTAAAATAAACCTCATTTAAAAAAAAAATTATATAAACTATTACATTTGAGATCATGTCTCCCAGCCTCTACTTCCCGATTTGAAATGGGCTGGGAGAATGGCATTATCTGATGACTCTAGCCAATCTTTTTTATATAGTACCTATTGCCATCGTATTGAATTGCTGATAACTGCACAAACTGGCGTCCTGGGAGAAGCAGCCGATGAGGACTGAGCAACAGCCAGGTTTGAGGGGTGGTTGGAGACATAAATATAAAGCTCTGAGACTTAAGAGGGGAGACAGACTGTGTGGGGCATAGTCACGAGAAGCAGGGTGTTCTGTAGCTGAAACTGAAAGGGGCGAGGCAAGTATTGGCAATGGGACAGACCTTTAAGAGAGAGCGATTTCTCCAACGCTGCTCTCTACCAGTGGCTGAAATCTATCAGCCACCACACATTTCTGCAGCCCACAGTTCTGCATGTCTGGTTTGCTCCCTTCCACTCTGCAGCTCATGCAAGTGGATCAGTGTTTTGGAGCTGCGTGCTCTGGCCACACCCCTGCTGCTATTACTTGCCACCAGTTTTTCTGTCTGTGTGGCAGCAGGCAGTTGGCGGTTTGATTGTTTCTGCCTTCATTTCTTCAGTTTTTTGGCTTCCTCCTCCTCCCTACGTTGGTTAACACTCCTGTGGTTTAATGCACCATGAGCTTCTGCTGCAATGTCTCCCTGCCAGGTTATCTGTCCCTAAACAGGCATGGCAGAGCAGCCAACAAAGCATTGGGTCAAATCAAGCAATGTTCTATTTGTAAGGCAGCCTCCCTGGGCGTGGCAGATGGTGAGTTGTACCAAGCCAGTTGACCCTAGTTCTGTTAGCACCCAGGGCTATGAGACAGAAAGGCATGTAGGGCTCCCTTTCCACCAAAGCAGCTGCAACTCCAATGTGGGAAAATGGTCCAGGAACCCTTGTGCAGAGCAGAGAGAGACTCCAAAGGTGTGGCAGACCTCAGGCAGTCAACTTAGGGTGTGAGTCCCAATAGTCCCCCTCAGCCCAAGTCTTGAATGAGTCCTGTATGTCCTGGAGAAAGAAGCAGGGCTCCTAATCAGCCCCCCTCCCTCCGATTTGACCTGGAGAGCTCTTGACAATTGCCCCACAGGGGCAATGGGACCCAGCAGGGGAGGATTCAGAGATAGATCTCTCAAGAGGGCTTCAGGCCCTAATGAAAGCAAGCTGCAAAAGGTCTCACCAAAGCTGAAGCACAGTTTCTGTGCTCCCAAAGTATGGAAAAAGAACTAGAAAATCAAAGAAGGCAAAAAAGGGAAAGAAAAAGCATAGAAAATCCAGGAGATACGAGTCTTCCTCCTCTTCCCCGCATCTCCTCCACAGAGGAAGGTGAACTGTCAGACTTTGAATTAAAAGAGGACTTGGGAGAAAAATAGAGGTTTTAACCCCTGAAGAATTTCAGACTGTGCAGTAAGGTTGTCTTCATGATTCAAATTCAACCTGAATAGGCTCCTGAGAGTAAGTCTCAAAGTAAATTTGTCTCACCAAAATCTTCTCCTGTGGCTGTGATATCTGTTCACTCCTCCTTTGAGGAAGTGATTACGAATTAATGGAACAAGCCTAATAAGAGCAAGCATATTAACAAGAGCAACCTCAGGCACTATAACATTGAGCAATCAAAGGGGTCTATTCTTGAAGTATTCAGGGTCGATGCTGCTGTAGTGTCCTTTGTGAGGGATATGGTTATTCCCTCAGAGGGGGAGTTCTACCCTAAAGATCTCATGGATAGACCAGTAGAAGCCATTCTCAAAAAGGACTTTGAGGCCTTCTCTGCCGTCTTCAGGGCATCCCTAACAGCTATCTACTTTGCATCCATCTCCTGGCTTGAAGATTTCAGAGCCCTTAAGGGCAGACTTTGGTTCCATTTTAAAGAACGTCTGCCTAGCAACAGCATTTGTAGCTGATACCTCAATGTATGCATTGAGGTTCTCAGCCTGAGCCCTGGCTTCCAGATCAGTTGCCAGGCACCACCTATGGCTCTGACCCTGAAAGATGGATACACACTCTAAACAGGTCCTGTTCTTGGCCAAGCTTACAGGCTCCCTCCGTTTTGGAGAAAAGCTGGATAAGGTGGATAATGCTGCAAAATCCAAAAAGTCTTTCCCCTCACCACTAAGTGCCCTCATGGGAGAATATAGACCAGCCTTCAGACAGCGGCACTTGTTTCTGCCTTTGTCTTCACAGAAGTACCAGTGAAGGGACAACAGGTTCTCAAAAAAAAAAAAAAAAAAAAACAGTGGAATCCAGGTTCAGGGGGAAAGTCCAGTGGGAACGCAAACCCCCACCCACAGTCCACTTTATGACAAAGGCCTCATAGGCCACCACCTAGAACTGAAGCTAGGGGATAGAATTTCCCACTTCCTAGAAGAGTGGTTTACATTGACCACAGACAAGTGGGCCAAGGAGATAGGGAGCCTGGGATACTCCCTTGGGTGCAGGCTCCACCCCATCCATTCTGCATCCAGTCTCCCATTTCCAATGACCCCGTAAAGTGCTGTTTGATCCAGAATGAAATATCTCATTTTCTGGATTTTACTCCATCTTCATTGTGCAGAAACACATGGGGAGAGTGGGGGTGGTATCAGAGAGCCAATCTTAGGCTAGGTCTACACTACGGGGGGGAGGGAGGAGTCGACCTAAGATACGCAACTTCAGCTACATGAATAGCGTAGCTGAAGTTGCGTATTTTAGGTCGACTTACCTGGCTGTGAGGACGGCGGTGAGTCGACTGCTGCCGCGCCACCGTCGACTCTGCTTCCACCTCTTGCCACGGTGGATTTCCGGAGTCGATGGCAGAGCCATTGGGGATCGATTTTATTGCGTCTTCACTAGACATGATAAGTTGATCCCCAACAGATCGATTGCTACCCGCCGATCCAGCGGGTAGTGTAGACATGCCCTCTGACTCAAAAGGCTCAACAAAAGGATGAAGAAAATGAAGTTTCAAATGCAGACTGTGGCCTCTACAGTGTCATCCCTGTCCCGAGGGGACTTCTTGACTTCAGTGGATCTGTTGGCTTAATACCTCCTCATCAGACCATGCCACTCACAGCCTTGCAAGGTTTGCCTATTGCAGAAACATTATCAGTACCCAACACTCCCATTTGGCCTTTCCTGGATGATATCCTGATCAGAGCTCCATCACAGTGCCATGTCTGGGACATTGAAGGCTCATGGTTTCATCATCAATATCAAGAAAAGTTCCTTGAGTCTGTCCACCAGAGTAACTCACTTCGGGGCAGAAATAGACACCTTGGTAGCAAAGATCTTCCCATCATTAGAAAGGTTCAGAAAATCTAGGATCTTATCTTGCTCCAGAGCTACAGGAGGCTTACCATAGTACTACGCCTCCAACTACTAGGCCTCCTGGTGTCATGTATAGCGGTTCCTCAATGAGCAGCACAGTCACACATCAGAGGTCTTCAAGCCTTCATCCTAAAGGTCTGGGACCACTCCCCACAATGCATGAAAGATCAAGTACAGGTTCCAACACAGGCACTCAACTTCCTATACTGATGGTCAGCCCACAACAATGTGCACAAAGGCATGTCTGCCTGCCTTCCAGATCCTCTAGTTCTCACAACTGACACCACAAATTCACCTCACTGGCTCATCCCAGAATGTTATAGTCAGTCCTCTGCATAGTGGTGTGATCAATCACACAGGGGCAGAGAGTGGCATGACCATTTTTTTTCAGGTCAACCCCAAAATGTTAAGGCCAGTTCTGGCTGCTTGAAACTTGAAGGAGTCTGGGAGGAGGGGCAGGAGTTTCCTGGCAAAGAACCTGAATAGCTTCATGCTGAACCTGAGTACCCAGCTG